GAACCCCGAGATATTTAAAAGGAAGAATTCCTTCATTAAAGCCAAGAAGTTGTAAAATCTGGGTTCGTAAAGCCGTTGAACCACCTGACATGAAAGTCTCACTCTTATTAGCATTTGGCTTGAGGCTAGACCAACTAGAGAATAGCCTAATTCCTTCATGCATAAGAGTAATAGACTCCAAGTTTGCCTCAGAAAAAAGGAGCACATCATCAGCAAAGAAGAGATGGCTGAGTCTGGTGATCTTGCAACGCCAGAAAAATTTGTAACCAGGCAACCGAGTTTGATGGTTAAGGATGCCTGAGAACACTTCCATGGCCAGCGTAAAAAGATAGGGAGAAAGAGGGTCTCCTTGTCTGATGCCGCGGCCGCTAGAAAAGAAACCATGAAGTTCACCATTAATGGCCATAGAAAATTTCGGAGAGGTGACACATTCCATAATAAGCTTGATCATAAAAGATGGAAAGCGGAATGCTTGGAGAACTGCTTCAAGGAAGTTCCAATCAAGAGTGTCATATGCTTTTTGAAAATCAACCTTAATGGCACATTTCGGATGGTAAGGCTCATGTTGGAAGCCTGCAAAAAGTTCCTGAGCCAGGAGAATGTTGTCAGTGATCCTCCTATTCTTGATAAAAGCATTTTGGGAGGAACTGATGAGAGTTGGCAGAACTGTGGAGATGCGGTCGGCCAAAATTCTGGAAATACATTTGTAAATGGTGTTGCAACACGCTATAGGCCTGAAGTCATTCATTGACTGAGCATTAGGGATCTTTGGCACAAGTGCTAATATGGTAGTGTTGAGTTCTTTTAATAAAGATCCAGACTGAAAAAAATCAGAGATTGCCGAGATGATAGAGGAGCCAACAATATCCCAGTTAGCTTTAAAGAAATCAACATTATACCCATTAGGTCCAAGAGCCTTGCCTTTGGCCAGAGAAAACATAGCATTATGAATTTCACTAACCGTTATCTCTCGAGAGAGTAGGAGGATCTGATCATTATCCAGCCCATGTTGGAGGTAATTCCGAATGGCGTCGATATCAGGTGGAGAGGTTGTTCTGTCAGTCGCAAGAAAATTTTGAAAATGCTGAACAATGTGCTGCTGAACAAGGTTCGGGTCATTAAGGATTACACCATTGGAATCAGAAATCGAAATGATGCGGTTCTGAAGGTGTCTCTTATTTACAAAGTGGTGAAAATATTTGGTGTTGCAATCACCTTCTGTCAGCCACTTTATCCTCGACTTTTGTTTATAAAAGGATTCCTCTTGAAGACACAGTTCGGAGAAAATTCGAGACTGATCCTTTTTTAGTTGAGCCAGAACAGTATTAAAAGGATCAGAGGCTAGAGCATCCTGGGTATTAAATAATGCTAACCTGGCCTGCGCGGTTCGATTTGAAATATCCGAGAAGGAATCTCTATTAAGAAGTTTAAGGCGACCTTTTAGCTGCTTTAGCTTCTTGCATAGAACGAACATGGGAGTGCCCGTAATATGTGAGTCCCATACCTCGTTGATTATATCCAAAAAGGAAGGGTGAGCAATCCAAAAATTGAAAAATTTGAATGGTTTCCTGGATAGACGAGGGGGAAAGATTCTGATGATCATAGGCGAATGGTCAGAGATTCCCGGAGCAAGAAATGAGGCCTCAGAAAAGGAAAATTCGCGGCTCCAATGTTCATTGATAAGGACTCTATCTATTTTCCGTTGTTTGCGGAGAATGCCGACGGAGGTGGACCAAGTATATCTATGCCCCACATATCTGAGATCATCCAGGCCAGCTTCTTCAAGACAAGAGCCAAATTCATCAAAGGCGGGTATCCAAGAGTTTGAACTGCCAATTCTGTCAGATTGGTGACGAATGGCATTGAAGTCTCCAGCCACAACCCAAGGAAGATCCGAGAACTGCACGGTAGAATGTATTAGATCAGCCCATAAAGTACGGCGGTTCACAAAGGTGTGTTCTCCATAGATAACCGAGAAATAGCATGATTTACCGAGAGCCAGCAGACTTGCACGGGTATGAATAGCTTGGGAAGAAGAAGACAAAACTTCCAAGACTAATTCTTGCGGATTCCAGCCCAACCAGATTCTGCCCCGAGGGGAGGAATTGTAATTGCATGACCAATCCCAACCCGGTAATAATCCAGTAGATATAAATTCAAAAAGGGATTGATTCACCTTGGTCTCAAGGATGCCAATGCAAGAAAGATGATTAGATCTCACAAAAGCTCTAATTTCCGCCTGTTTGAGGGGATGCACTAGACCCCTGATATTCCAGATGCCAAAAAACATTATGGAGGGGAAAGGAAGTTACCGCATTTTTGCTCGACCTCTCCTCCTGGATCTGGAGGTGGTCTGTTTATTTAAAGGGGGCTTACTAACAGGGGCGGGTTCAGCAACAGTTGGGGCCAGCAAAGCGGCCACACTAACTACCTTTCCCGAATGTGATGGGGCATCTTCCGAAGGGGGGGGGGGGGGGGCTTACTCCAGGTCGTTCTTGGCAGGAGTCGTGACTCACAGAGCAAGATTCCTTTTGCAAGTAGGCTTTGGGACGAGATGTATTCTGATCTGGGGAAGGAGAGTCTGAATCACTCGACATATCACTAGCCATGTCTTCGTTGGATTCACCATAATCAGAGGATGCTGAAGATTCACTTCGGGGGGACCTGGGAGGGGCAGAGAGTCCAGATACATCACCCTTGGGCAAAGAAGGGGAGGTCCGTGGAGCATGGGGCAGAATGGGGGCTTCTACCTCTATCGTGGAATGATCAACGCCGGGAGTGCCAAGCATACTCCTGGGCTTTCCAACCCCTTTCCTTTTGTTTACCTTCTGCCATGGCTCTTCCACTGTGGGGAGGGGAGCAGCAGGAGCAAGAGGGTGCTGCAGATTCTTTTCTGAGATTATAGTCTCCGAGCTGGGTGCGGGGCATCTATGGCCAAAAGTGCCACAGGATATGCAGGAGATAGGCCTCCATTCATATTCAACCTTGACAATCCATATTTCATCATTGAGCTTGACATGAACTGAGTCTAGCATGATTTGAGAAGCCTTGATTTCAATGCATACTCTCGCATAGGAGAGCATCCTCATTTTCTCAGTTTGTGAGTCCATATGAAGTGGTTTACCAAGTGCACTAGCAATAGCGCTAATACCAGAGGCCGACCATAAAGCGTATGGGATATCCCTAAGCTTCACCCATATAGGAATGGACTGGTGATGGTCCTTGATGAGCTTAAGATTGGGGTGCCATTGCTTCAAAATCATAGGCACACGCAGAATAGTGATGGGCCCTCCATCAAGGACTTTCCGGCGAAAAGCCTCGTCGGGGATGTGGAAGAAAAAGAAACCATCCCCGTTTGCCATTACATCCACGAGATTATTACCCCATACATTCTTCACAGCAGTCTCAGTGAGCATAAAGGGCAGTTTTTTGCCCACAAAATACCCTACTAGACATTCCTTCCATTTGGGGTTTGAATCTTCCAGAATAGCTTCTGAGATTTGTACCAGCGGTTTACCATCGACAATGGTAGGAGGAATAAATGATAGGCCATAACCTTTTTCAGCCGACCTTGCAACAGCTACCCAAGAGCGTTGCGTAATTTGTGAATTTTTGGTCGGAGGCTTTCCTTTACTGCTGTTGCGGTCAGTACCAGTCATTGGTGCACCTTGCTGGTCTGTTGAAGTCCCAGCAATATTCTGGATAACATGAGAGGGGTTAGGCATGGACCTTCCCCTGCTTCGGCCTCTACTGCGGGACCTTCGACCTTTAGGGTCAGTAGCTTTGGCTTTCATCGTGCCTGGCTTATCAAACTCAGCCGAAGTGTGAGCAACAGGGGTTTTCACTGCACTAATGGAAACTTGGGCTTTTGATTTTGCATACACCACCGAGGAAGATGGTCTGCGAGTGGCATCAGAAGGGTCAGCATTAACAGCTGAGGGGTGCTTTGGGAGGGTACACACATTTTTGCCCGTCTCCAGTAGGTTAGATGGTAGTGGCTCAGAGGCCAGCTCCCGAGAACAGGGGTTTTCAGTCATGGGCTTCACAACAGTACATACATTATGAATCCCAGTGACCACTATCCGTGTAGTAAGATCATGAGTGAAAGGGATTACTTGGGTGGCGCCGTTGAACAGAGATACACCAGATTTTCAACACAAACTCCGGAGTAGCTCACCTGGACAAAGAGAGGTGCCTGGCGACAGAATCCTCAAATTTCCAGAAGGAAAGGACCAGCGAAGCTGTAGAAATCCAGATAATCCAGTCGGGTGAACAGTATCTCAGTCACCGGAACACAGAAATTCCCAGATCTGCTTTCCCGATTTGAATGGGTCGCCACAATAGAAATCCTTCGGTCAATTGATTACTTAGCATCTGGCGCAGCCCAGCACCAAGAATTAGCTAGAATCACCGATCAGAACGACGAGAATCAGTGAGAAACCCAGCGGGTGAATAGTACCCAATCGCCTGCAATCGGGAGAGAAACTTGCACAGTACCGGATGAACAGTACCAGGGCGTGGAAAAGTTTTTCACTTGGATTTTAGTATATTGGTTCTTGCTAGCCACTATTTTCATTTATTGGCTAAGTCATTCAATCTCCCCTATTTTCTCTATGCATTTGCATTCAACTTCATATCCTAACATACCAATGGGAAAGAGTTGATTTCTAGAATTTGATATCCTAACAATATAAGGTTAAGTTGGTAAGGAATATGCATGCTTTTTCTGTTTCACGAGAAACTGATGCAGAGACCTTGGATAAATTTAGTTACTCAAAGATCTTGGAGGAACTGACAAAATTCAAGGAGACCGGATACCCTTTCCCCAAGGAGTTCTTCGAGATCTTTCAGACGATTCACAAGCAACAGAAGTCCGTGCTCAAAAAGTTGTGGATCAAGAGAAAAAGATTGAGAAGAAGCTCAAGAGCATACAGACGTGGAAGAAAATCTCAACCATGATACTGGTTGCAATTTTCGCAGCCATTCTGATCTGGTCGGTCATGACTCCAGCTGTGGCTGCTACACCAGTCACTGCCGCCCTAGCGGCTGCAACCGCCATTCCCATGGATGCCATTGGCAAGTGGATTGACTCCATTTGGAAGAATTATGAAAATGAACTGAAGGGATGGGAGGAGGTGATCACCTCAATGCAAGTGAGTACTACAAACCTTTGTCCTCCCTTTCTGTAATTACAGTGATGATCCCTGTAATTTCGTCAAACCAAGTCAACATCCATACTTTTCCCTCGAAGTCCTCGCAATTAACATAATGAACATCGTGAGGCTGGCTTGATTTTTATGTAGCTATAATGATGCGAACAATGTCTAGGAGTCCAAAATGCAAGAAACTCTGCAAGAGAAGTCATCGTGATTTACATGAATAATTTCTTACAACTAAAAGCTCGTTGCTCTCGAGCTCCTTAACAAAATCAGAAGCATGATTGACCCTTTGGAGGTACAGACCAGGAGGCTTTTGCAGAAGGCTGATTTTCCAATTGAGGAGGGAGCAGAAGCAGTAAAGCTCGGAATAGCAGACATCAAGAAAAAGCTGAGAGATTTCATGAAGGGGGTTGAAGGACTAGGAAAACATGCTGACATGTGCAGCCGCAATATCCAGAAATCGAGGATAGAGGTGCTCCAGAGGATTATAAAGCCCCCCACCAATTGCAACGGTGCCCCTATTTTGCTATAGAGAATTGGTGCTAAGTGTTTGTCTTCCTGTGAGGGATGTGCAGTGGACCTCCATTTGCATTGCCTTCTCTCATCACTAAAGCGGAAGACATCAACATTTGGCATTCGATTTATTGAATAATCATAATTAAATGCAGCTTTTGGACAGGAACTCTTCTATTCCTATTTGAATAAGCCCTTGTTTTAGTTTCTCTTATGTATAGTTCCATGTGGTGATTAAACAAGTTCAGATGACTGACATAAAACTGACCTGTTACATGGAAATGGTAAGGTTCAGGTTCTTCCCAAAAGCAGAAGTTAGTAGCTAGGACAGAATGGTTAAATTTTCGTTGAATTGTGTTTAGAGCTCATTATGCTCGTGAGAAATGTCTGTCCCAGTCTGATGAAAGCTGCATAATCCAAATGAAAGACCAGACAGCAGTAGCTCAGCAAAACAAAAATATCTATAGGAAGAAAACGTATCCTGCCTATGTTCCTCATTCGTAAAAGAATACTCCTCAATAAAACTATTTGGTAAATCCAGACATCTAAGGACAAATTTCATGTTGACAAGAATTAATGGAGGAAGAAATTGCAGATGCTGAATTATTCCTGATCAATGCTTGGCAAAATAAACGGAGCAATTGCCTCTAATGCAAATTTATTAAAGTGAGAATACGTTCCACGTTGCTTTCCAAGCAACAAAAAATATACACATAAATAGTCGGTGCTTCCAACTCTCCAACGAAACACCTCTCTGGCTTCATCAATTTTCTATACTAACAAACTGCAATGTAATTTTACAGAAGAAGTTCCTTGTTTACCAATATTCCAACGCGAAGAATCAGCAGAATTGAGAGAAATCTTTGAATTATGCAGCAAATCAGAAAACACTAGCAAAAGTTTCGAGTTCCAGGCCATGGGCTTGTCTCGAAAAATCAACTTCCTAAGTGATTCTCCCATCAATGGACCGACACCATTCAAACACAAGGGGCCTCCTCGTTCCTGGGAACAGTAAAAGGTCCAGGAAATGATCTCTGAGAGGCGTATACCTACACCAAGTGTAAGCGTGTCCATTTTCGCTTTCCCACTTTTGGAGATGTAAAAAGAAAAACACACTTCACTTGTCTCTAAGCTGCCTCTGAGTCACTGATACCATGAGTTGCTCTTCTATTTCTAGGAATTCAACCAATTTCTCCAAAGCAACTTTTTATTTGTTGCAAATACAAATGTCTTCAAAATATTGTACTAGTAGAGTCTTCTTTTATTTTTCGCTCTAGTGTAGGTAATGCTTCCTTTTTGTAATCGCTTTGTTTGTAATATAAAGTTTAATTTCTAGCAAAAAAAAAATACAAATGTCTTCTTCCGTGGGAACTTTTTGAATTCTATAACCAACTTAAGAAATTTCAGGGGATAAGTCCAAATGTAGTCTTTGTTTAATTATTTTACTTGTTTGTTCGCATGCGCTGTGCACAATCGATTCGAGAGATAGGTTTGGACTATTTTTAATAGAGAATATGGATATAAATTTCAAAGATGTGAATATGTGCTCATAATAACCGGAGATTTGTTAGGTAACCGCGTGGAGATTTTGAAATTTAGTCATTAGTATTGTATAACGTTTTACTTATTCTATATTGAAATGAGATAGAGTTGTTTTGGTCTTATGAAAATGGACATAAAATTTGAAAGTTAGCTTCAATAAAATGTACATATTGGCCTAATCTAAAAACAAAAAATCACGAAATTATACCGGTGAAAAAAAATGAGCCCACTTTATATATGTCACAAGAAAAAAGCGGGTACCCTTACGCGATGGACTGAGATGGCCACCGTCAATTTTTCCTCATCCTAGTGATAGCCGAGGTGGCAAACAGTGTTGACGGGGTGCGCTGACATGGCACTTTTTATTATTAAATTTTAAAAATCAATATTAAGGGTTCTAAAATCAAAAGAAAATATCTTCTGTTCAAGAATAAGGGGAAAAGAAGGCCGGCATTGGTCGCCAATGCCAGCGTCGAGTTTGGCGTTGACCACAGCAAAAAGCGAGTGCACTTGGAGCCCTTATGGACTCTAGTGGCCGGCACCGTCGTTGGTAGTCTGCAGAGCCGATGGCTCAAGTCGGGAAGGGATATGAAATTAGGGGAGAGACGTGGCGGTGGAGGAGCGATGTTGAGTTAGAACTCTAAGTTCAGAGTGGCGGAGGAGGAGGTGACCCCACGATAGTGGCGGAGGAGGTGTACTAGGGTTGGACGCAAGAGACGAATCGTGAGGAGGTTCCGACAAAGCAACTTCTATTTGATTGTAGGAACCCTTTTGCGACAGCCATAAGAGCAGATTGTAAGATAATCAATGGTTTATAATCAATATTTAAAATCTAGATTTCTAAAATTTGGATTGAAATCACATACCTGGTTTAACTAATCTCAGTCTATGCACCAATCAATACAGAAGAATCCACACGAATCCGCGACTAGGTCTTCCTCTCTTATAGGATCTCGATAGATGAACCTAAAATGCTTTAGAAAGAGGATGGGAGACAAGATCATAGCCTATTTTAGTGTGCACTTTAACGGATGGCTATTGTTAGAATACCGGCGTACACCGACCGTCAAATCATATTGTTGTTGTTCCGAATATGTGTTGTGCCCAACATAATATGATCACATAACCGCATTATGGCTATCTAGCAATTTCTCATTTATTTCATTATAATATGTTTGTCACAAACAAAAGTGTTCTACGGTTAACTTTAGCCCATGACCTAACCTCAAATTTTGCCCCAATTTTCTGAAATTCATTAGGTTTGACTTAGAATTGATCAAGAGTTGACTAAACGTTGACCGGACAGATACAAGGCTGGAAACTTAATTTAAACCTAAAAAACAAGTTCTACTCACCAAAATGAGTCTTTTGAATCCATATTGCCATCCAAATTCGGAAATTAATTTTTCACTTTTCAGGATTGGTCGATGTTTTTCGCAATGTTCGAAAATGTGTTATTTCTTGACTTTGCTTGCAAATTTGACACTAGGGATCGCAACATCCCAACACAACAAAAATCAGGTCGAACGGATGTCTGATGAAGAAGTAATCATTGGTCAAACTTTTTGATACCCAAAATAAGGGTCCCAAAGAACAAAACAGTACCTAGAATTCTTCTAATCAAAAGAAACTTTCAAACCTCTAAGTTATGGTATAAATAAGTCACCAAAAAGACACCAGGTTAGACGGGAAAAATCTCAGGTATGTGATTTCACGATCTTACCTAAAAATATTGGGCTTGTTGGAAAGCTTTCGACATGAGCATTCAAATGTCACAAAATCACACAAATCGAATGTTGGACGGAGGAATTACAAGCCCATAAAGAGCAAGCCTCAACTCGAAGTAAGCATGGCTCAAGACGAGGCATCGTGCCTTCTCTTGAGGCGGCCACCTCGACCTATAAATATCCCCAATTTTCATTTTTCAGTTGGTGAATCTATTACTTGCCCTTTTGCTCTTGAAATTCTCTTAAGTTGAGTTAGGTGCTCACATTTCTTTTGTTTTCAAGTTTTTTTTCTATCTATATAGTTACCAAAATTCTCGTGCTTTCAACGTAAGTCCCAACTCCCTTGTTTTCAAATGTATAGAAAAGATGTGTTGCAGAACAACATCAAAAGATGCATAAATCGAAGCACAAATAACAAAAGAATGAAAGCAAAATCAAAACCACACAAGACGCAAAATATACGTGAAAACTCAAGACGGGAAAAATCACATGGAGAGAGAGTGGGGTTTCTTTATCTTTGGCAACGAGTACAAGAGTACAATCTAAAAAATCAAAAAACTACTTGGTGAGCCACAAAATTTGAAGATCTAATAAGAAAAAAGGAAGAACAAAGAAGGGAGAGAATGTGGAAAGTAGAGTTAGAGATGTGTTGTGTAACAAATCACTTTTATAGTCCCCCTTCAAAAACCCCGAAAACAAATGTGCATGGTCCAAAATGCCCTTGTTACTAATTTGAAAATCAAAACTCAACAAATCTCCATATTGACTTCAAATCTCCATAAGAGAGTTGTGCCAATTGCCATGAGACCTCTCGCTCTCACCATCAAGAGTGACCACACAAAGCCATCCCTCAAAACCGGCAGAATTGACCAGGCATGCCCCTAAGCCTACGTGAGCGCACTTTGTGGATGAAACAAGGGATGAAATGCCAATGAAGTCTAAACAATGCTTGAACTTGGTCAAAGGAACTAGTTTGGTCAACATATTTGCCAAATTATTTGCCGTAGGTGCTTTCTTCACCGTAACCATACCCTTAGTAACCTCATCATGCACAAAGTGATACCGGATGTCGATATGTTTTGTTCTCTCATGATACATTGGGTTCTTGGTCAATTGGATTGCACTTTGGTTATCGCAAAAGATAACAAAGGCTCCCTCCTATTTCATCTCAAGCTCTGTAACCAAATGCTTCATCCAAAGAGCTTCATTTGCCGCTTCCATGTACTCTGTTTTGGTGGTAGACAAAGCAACCGTGTCTTGCAAGATTGCTTTCTAACTAACCACAGAACCACCAAGCGTAAAAACATAACCTGTCAAAGATCTCCTTTTGTCGAGATCGCCTGCATATTCAGAATCAATGAAGTCAACAACCAAATGTCCTATAACAAACCTACATGTGAGGTACCTTGAATGTGCCGAAGAATCCATTCACGGCTTGCTAGTAAGCTTTACCCGGATGTGCCATATATCTGCTCAGAATACTAACTGCCTGGGAAATGTTTGGACGAGTGCAAAGCATAGCATACATAAGACTACCTACAGCACTAGAATATGGGACTCGAGACATCTCATTTTCCTCTTCTTTGGTTTTAGGCGACAAAGACACCAAAAGCCTAAAATGGGATGCCAAAGGAGTACTTAGCAGTTTGGCATTCTTCATGCCAAAATGCTCAAGCACTCTCTCAGTAAACATATTCTATGAATAGCAAAACCTTGCCAAACGGTCTGTCTCTGTGAATCTCCATACCTA